TAACCTTTATTATACAGTAATATGTGAATACACATAATATAATTGGAAGTAATTGTCGAATTACGGAATTAGAATGCCATTGGTCGTGGAAATCATATAAAAAAGTTTTGGAACATATCTATACTATTAAAAGTAAAGACACTCTTGAAAAATCGACTAACTAAAGTTGTCTACAATCTCATTAATGACATTTTAATAATTTATTTTTTGATCTTACATCTATATATATTAATTGTTATAAACCATATTACATATTAAATATACCCGATTTATTCTCTCTTCCCTTTAATTACTCTAACCATATTCCATATTATATTTCATACATTTATATTGTCTTATAAACCTTATATTACACAATTTCAATCTATAGATTAACTACATAAATATTTATTATAATATAAATTAATTATATGGTGTTCAGCTGCTCTCATACTTATAAATGTTTACATATATATAAAATATATTGTAATAAATTGTAATTGTAAATCATAATATATAATTCAATATACTGTATAATAAAATCAACAAATTTTAATATTTTTTGTCAAATAAAATATATTAAATTATATTTTAATATAGTAATATAGATATTATATTAAATATAATTTTTTATTCTTTTAATATATATTTTAATATTTTGCATTAATAAATTGAAGTATGTTGTAAACTCTATGAATATATGTTGTCATGAATATGTGATTCTTTTAATTTATAGTTTATAAAATAATTTTAATTAAGTTATATATATATATATATTATTTATTGGAGTAATTTAATTATGAATATGAATAATGTATTTATAAATATTAGAGTAATGGTATTTCTTATTTAATAAATCCAATTAATTTAAAATAAATTCTAATAATATTTAAAAGTAATTATATTTTATTATTTAAAATAAATATTAAAAATAAATATTTATATATTACAGAAAAAGATATTAAAATATATTGTCAAAATGCAATATTAGAAAAGATCTTAGTAATATCTTTGATATCTGATTTTGAAAATATTTAAATAATCTATTAAGATTTTTATTGAATAATAACTAAATTTGTTATAAGCAAGATAATTTCAAATATTTTCGTATTATCTTTTCTTCATATGTGGATATATTATCATTCGTGACATTTAATGGACGAGATACGTTTTATTACGAAAATATTGCAAAAACTATTTTCTATAATTATCTTCCTACTCAAATAAATAAATTGCTTCATCTACAAATTTATAGATTAACCACAATCAATTCGTGGTTAGTTATTCTTTGGTTGGATTCCATAAATTTCGGGAACTTACCGTAGTTGGATTACCATTAAATATTAAACTTTAAACTTCCTATCTAATTCAAAATATCTTCAAGAAATATTCCTTATTCCTCGAAAGAGATATTTTTTTAAAATCGTCTAAATATTCTACCCTACATTTGCGTAACCTAAATGTATATCGTCCTTACCTATTATAAATATAGGATCTCTTAACCACTATATTCATCATTCCTTGAAAAATCTAAAACAAAAATGGCGAATAATTTGCAGTTGTCTTTCTTGAGTGATATAAAACCGAGAAGACTGCATGTCGCATCCAAGTCAAAATCCTTCATACATGGAGACATTTCATGAAAGACATAGGAGAGACCATGGAACTAATCTTTTGTGAAGCAAATGTAAGTTTATGGTTTTATATAGATTTATGATTTACATGTCTTCATTTCGTAAAAGTTTAACCTAAAATGATAATGTTATTTTTTGTTTATATAGGGAACTAAGATCCATGCCTCGTGAGACATACATTCCTGAATTGGCAAAACATATTCGTGTTGGAGTTCGTGGACATTTCGTAAGTTTTATATATTTAATATAAAAGATATAATCCTATAAACATATTGATTTATAATTTGATATGCAATTCTATAAGTGGTCAGAGATAAGTTTGCTGTCTTTGGGGTAAATTTGCTGAGAATCTTCATACAGCTAACCAAGCAACAGAAGGCATGGTGATATGTCATCTACGATTTGCTAAGATTGAGCAATATAGAGGCATTCCTTGAAAATAAAAAAATGTTTCAATTTTGTACTAAATGACCATTGTTTATATAGTTGGAAATATGTTTCTACTAACTCAATGTTTTGATCATTCCTTCACTTTTCTGTTTTATGTCAGAAGAAATTACTCAAATGCTTATGATTTATTTTTGATTATATATGAGGTCCAAATCTCAAATGCTTATGATGTAAGTAGGGCTGGGAATCTGAGTCATCACCCGCGGGTCCTGCCCTGTTTAACCCCCTGTAAGCGGGTGCGGGTTTACCAATTTGAAAAAATTGATTGGCTGGTGCGGGTTATGAGTATTTTATGTAGGGCGGGTGCGGTTTGGTGGATTTTGAATCGCGGATACTCACCAACCCATAATTTTTTTTTATTTCTTTTCAATAGTATTGATTTTTCAAATTTACTATGGGCCATGACTCATCCAATTTTGGTTTCAATTTAATATGTATTTTAGTTCTTTATACTCTCACAACATTTAATTTTCTGATTCTCGGTTCAACAAAGAACTGACTCAGTTATGCAAAACTCAGTGAAAATACCCTACTAAAAGGTTAAATATACATCAAATTTCACATATAAAACTGTCATATAATAGAAATCGAATCATTTGATAAATTTTGTTACAACCAAAACAAAATCCGCGTTTCTCAAGTGCGGGTCAAAATCTAGTTGTTAGAGTACAATTAGTGAGTAACTACAATTGAGGAGGAGCACAGTACACTAGTATTCTAGAAATCAATCACCAATGAAGAACGACCATAATACGGCTGATTATAAAAGCGTGCAATTCAAGTAACCGGGTTTTTTATGGGCCTACGCATAACGCATTATAATAGGCTCCGTTTATTGGGGTTTTGTTACAATTGGTGTTACAAAGGTAAGATTTTTGTGAAGAGTTTCTAAATCGAAACTCATATAGCCCAATTAAAACAAATTAATCATTTTGCTCAAAAGATAAATCCTATAAGCCATTCTAAATTTACAACTCAATCAGGAACCTCTAAATCTAATGGTCAACCAATAAACATATTTTGTTCTAGTAGTTTTACTTTTACTAATGGTTCATGAATACTTTTACATCAAAAAAGTTGAATTTTAAATCTAAAAAAACCAAATATGCAAATTAATTGAGAAAATAATTACAAAACAAAATTTGATATAAAATTGTTAAATGTGGATCTCATAAGACGGTCTAGAATGATAAAGTTAAATATAAATCCTCATGATTAACCAACCATAAAATATAAAAAAATGAGGTAATGTAATATACATAAAAGCCTATTCACTTAAATATAATGGTAGCATATACAAATATAGAAGTTTTCCGGAGGAGATGGTTACAATTCTAAATATTAATACGCAGTTTATATAACTAATATAATGGTTGAAAGTGGATGAATATATAATTATTAACAAAAATATAATATAAATGTTGTCTCGGTTTTCTTTAATCTATGTCAGGTTGATTATTAGATATAGTAATGAAAATCATATTTTTTTGTCATCGGTAGTCATATGTTAATATTATAATTTGTATATTTGAACAAAATTTTTAAAATATATAATTATGAAAAAGTTAAAAAATATTAACTCTGTAATTGATAATGAAAATTTATAAAACGCTATAGAACCCTGCACAATAAATCCATAAAGATGAAGACCAGAGGTCGAAGTGAAGCAGTGTTTTGGGTGATGTATAGGAGGAGAGAAGAGTCTAAAATTCCACCTAGAGAGAAAGACTGAATAAGAGCCACTTGCTAAATCGTTTTTTCTCCATTTCTAATTTACCTAATTCACTACTATCATTCTCTTTTGTATATGGTTTAATTATCCAAAAAAGTTGGTGGCAACTTATTTATGATCAGTGTTTCGGTGCAGATGCAATTTATAATTATTTGTGGTAATTAATAATGACAAAAATACAACTTAACAATAATCATGAATTCACTATTAAGTCAACTCCCTAGCCTCCCCACTACCGCACGTTCGTCTCTTTCTCCACTCATTGACTTCTATCTCTATCTTCCTCCTTAA